CACACATGCAATGAACATACCCCTGTAAGAATCAACATTCACAACATAGTGGTGTACACACACACACACACACACACACACAGAGACAGACAGACAGAGAGAGATGCACACAAAGGGGGGAGGGAAAGGGAGAAGGAATGAGGGAGGGAAGGAAGGAGGGAGGAACGGGGCGTGGCATGTGCTTTTGAATCCTCAAAGCCCACCCCTTCCAACAAGGCCACACCTCTTAAACCTTCTAATCCTATCAAAGATTTCCACAACCTGGTGACTAAGCATTCAAAGAGTCTATGGGGACCATTCTTCAAGCCAGCACCACACAGAAAGTCAGATGGTGGACTATTCTCAAATGTGCCGTCTAAGAAGGATATGCACACTAATCAATATCATCTTAGAAACAGACTCATAGGAGACAGCCATTGATGCCAAGACCATCTCAAAGCACGCCCGAGGCATGCTTCCAAGTCACACATATATTCTCATACTTCATGCCAAACCAACACATAAACAACAACACTAGTGTTAGATTTGACTTTCTAAGGTTACAGAAAAGACTGGAAACCTCCCGTTGGGTGACCATGCTAGAATCTTTGATCCCTGCTACCCTGAGTTCACACTCAGGCTACTTAGTTTATTTAGAGAAAGCATATCCTTCCTGTTGTTTCTCAGGAAATGGGAGAACACATTTAGAAACCATGGTTTAAGTTCAAAATGAAGTAGTTTTCATTTTTAAACTATGCCTCACTTTGAAGAATATTTAATGATGGGGGAAAATAAGAGTTTGAGAAACTAAGCAAGTGAAGTGGAGATGAAATAGTATTCTCAGCCTTAAAAGAATTGAGTTTTGTAAAAACACTTCACAGTCTGCTACACCCTGTTTCTTCCTGAGGATTTTCCAAGCACTGAGTTGTATAACAGTGGCATAACGTGGGGGAAGGAAGTGCCCAGGTTTCTGGGATCTCTAAGAGCCCTAAAGATTAGAGGCTTAATTGTCCTATCACCTTCGTAGCTTGTTAAGTTATTACAATAATCTCCACAGCCACTTATCTGACCTGGATTCACCCTGTAATACCAGCCACACCTCTGGGGCTCTGAGAGGTTAGCTTCATTCTTAAAAGGCAGCCACAGAGTGAACCACATCACACAAGAGGAACACAGCTTCAACCCCTAAAGACATGGGCTTAAGAGCTACTGTGAGCAGTGTCTTGTCCTGCTCTGATCCAGAAAATGAAAAGGCATAAAATTTAACTACAGAAAATGAGAAGGCATAAAATTTAACTTCCTCCACTACCAAACAGGAAAACACACAGGTGTACACATATAATCAACCTCCGCTCTAGCCCCACCTTGCTTCTCATCTCCTATTTTCTTCACCTGAGTTAAAGTTACACGTAACTCTCCTAACTACCAACGAATACCTGACCAAACCTCTGTTCTCTTATAATGATGTTCCCATGTCTCCTGATGACCCGGCAGCTGCTCCCTATTCACAACCCAGATGACCTGGCTGCTTACTGAGCTCCAGACACCACGTATGAACAGGACAATAAGTAATTCTTTCACGGAGGTTGTTAGGATTATATGACTAAGTGCTTTCTGTATGTTCACTCGGTCTTTGGACCTCTGGCCATGCCTGGAGGATGTCAATTACATGTGTGGCTAGGCTGAGCTGGTCCAGCTATGTGTACCTGGCACTGTCTTCACATTTCTCCTGAAGCCCACACTTCTCAATGTCCTACAGACACCCCAGCTTCACTTCAAACAAATTGCCAGGACCAGCGAGATGGCTCAGTAGGTAAGGCCACATGCTGATAAGTCAGTTAACTTGAGTTAGGCCCCCTGGAACACAGATGATGGGAGAGACCCGACGCCTACAAGTTATCCCTTGACCTCCACATATACACTGTGGAACATGAGACCTCTTACCTCCTACCAACTCAATAAATAAGTGTAAAAAGGGTTTTTATACAAACTCACCATTCACTCCAAACTTGTCATTCTTTCGTTTTTCTGTCCTCACTAACGGCATCTCAGTGACAGTTTCCAATCAGAAAACTCTTCTCTTTGCCCTCCTTCCTTCTTTCCTTCCTTTCCTTTCTTCTCCCTTCCTTCCTTCCTCCTGTCTATTTTCTACCCAAGCAGAGCCAATTCTTCCTCCTATTTCTCCAGTCTGTCCTCTCCTTTCTGTTCTTCCAACGTTTCAGCTGAAGATCACATTATCTCTGCAGGACCACCGTGGATCACTGCAGCACCCCTGGACTTGAGCTCCAGTCCCCACACTTTAAGAAAGTAAACTGAGCATTTCTTTAAGGTCTGAGATTCCACGGGATAAAGCCCACACTTCCAGAATGGCATGGGGGACCTTGGGTGTGAGCTGAACAAAGACTAATGAAGAAGAGGTGTCTCTGTTCTCTTCCACATCCCCAGCTCATCCCAATCACTTCGCTCTGTGCCACTGTCATACTGGTTCTGTCTGGCTACTCCATCACAACACCTCTGTCCCGCTCAGCTTGGTAAATGATGTTCATACTAAACACCAAAATTATCTCTTTTAGGGATTCTTTCCCTCACAAAGGGGAAAGCATAAAATCAGTTTGTGTCCTGCTGTTGTTACCTGTCACAGGGTCCTACTCTGTCACCTGTCACATTGTCCTGCTCTCCGTCACCTGTCACAGGGTCCTGCTCTGTCACCTGTCACAGGGTCCTGCCCTCTGTCACCTGTCACAGTATCCTGCTCTGTCACCTGTCACAGGGTCCTGCTCTGTTACCTGTCACATTGTCCTGCTCTCTGTTACCCATCACAATGCATTCTAGTCATCTGTGTGTCAGGTACACAAGAGCTAACAGTTTGGAGTTTGGAAAATATCTGTAGAATGGTGAGGTAGCTTGGATACCAATAATATTAGGATAATGAATACAAGAGGGGGTTAGTAGGAAATATGGGTACGACGGCCAATGAGGGTAGCATAGAAGAATCTGGGAAACACTGATGCTGATGCAGCCCCCATAAGTGCTAAGAGCCATTACAATCACTCAGCTAAATAGATGATAAATCCTGTTTAAAGCCCATTAGTAGGAGAACGATTCCAACAGAGAGATTGGTTTTATCTGTCTAAGCAGGTTCAGCAGTCAGAACATTCACTGTTATAATTTTATCAGACTTAATACAAGCTTAAATAAAAATTGAAACTCTCTCTTGTTGGGACCCTCTCTTATATTACCTTAAGAACTATAGACAAAGGGTTGGGGTGTAGCTCAATCGGTAAAGCCCTGGGTTCAAACCCTAGCATAGCATTAGCTGGGCACCGTGGCACACACCTCTAGTCCCGCCCCTAGAGAAATGGAGGCATTAGTGTTATTCTTTTGCTTAAATTAGAAATAAAGAAGAGGTGCAGGATGAGACATGAGACTATTAGACATATTAACCAGTTTATTATAGGCCCGGCAGAGTAAGGCAACTAAGAGAAAAGAGGAACAGGGTTAATGGCTGAAGGCCATGGCCAGTTGCCATAGAGAGAGGCAGAGAGAGAGAGTGTAGGTGGGAGAAGAGAAGAGAAGAGAAGAGAAGAGAAGAGAAGAGAAGAGAAGAGAGAAGAGAGAGCATAAGTGGGCAGGGGTCTGTCTTTTAAAGGGGTCCTTGGCACCTGCCTGCAGACTTAGTTCCCATGGAACCCTGGGCTGACCAGGGTACTGCCTGAGTGGATTCCGCCAGGTAACAGAGGCAGGCCAGCATAATGAACCTTTCAATAAGGACCAGACATTTGAGGTCATCTTCAGACACATTGTTTGTTTGGGGCCATCTGGGCTATGTGAGACCCTGTTTCAAAAGAAAAAAAAAAAAAAAAAACTAAGGCCAGGCAGTGGTGGCACACACCTTTAATCCTAGCACTTGGGAGGCAAAGGCAAGGGCAAGTGGATCTCTGTGAGTTTGAGGACAGTCTGATCTACATAATGAGTCCCAGGACAGCCAAAGCTGTTTCAAACAAACAAAAGCAAATAAAAGCAAAACCATGACCTATAATTCATATAACCCTAGAACAGATGGGAAAGGGCACCACCACTTTTAGCCTATAATACCTTGTCATGCAATATTCAGCAAGGTCAAGTTTATTTACTTAGTGATCTCAAATTTATTTATAATAAAAATCCAAGCAATGTACATTGTACTTTGTCCTGGAATGCAAAAGCTTACTTATCAAATCAAATGACATAGTATTCAATGTGATATACATTGAAGAAATGAGACCTTGCAGACTGGGGACGCACTAGAGCAGGGGAAACTTGGAGCAAACCAAGCTGAAACTGATGCTGTTTTCCCAGTAGTAAAGAGACATCTATAATTAACAGGCTTTCAAGGATATGCACCCAAGTATTACCACATCATACCTCATAAAACATTCAAAACCACCCAAGTTATACAAGCTCACACAGGGCACTGAAGAAGAAAGAGAAGACTCCTAAGTGAGGCACCAGTGCCCTAAAATGAGGACCACAGGGTAAAAGAGGGCCACAGCTGCCAAGCAAGCAGGGACATAAAGAGCTAATGTTAAAAGTAAGTTGCCCTCAAACTACAGAGTGTTCCACATCAGTAGATACATCTAGAAGATGTATTTGTGTGTGCAAAAAAATGAAGATGCCAACTGTAGCTACAGCTCAATTGGTAGTGTGTTTGCCTAGTGTGCACAAAGCCCTGATTGGGCTTGATTCCAGCACTGCATGGGCCAGGCATGGTAGAACATGTCTGTAATCCCAGCCCTAAGGAGGTGGGGACAGGAGAATTAAACGTCCAAATTTATCATTGGCTACAAGCAGGAGGCCAGCTAAGGATACTGTAGCAAATAAATAAATAAACAAATAAAGCAAATAAATAAACAAATAAAGCCAAACAAAAGTGTAAAGACATGCAAACAAAAGCCAGAAGACTGAGGGCATAGCTCAGAGGCGGGAGGCTTGCTGTCATGTGGACAGTCCTTGGTTTGATCCTTAGCATCACAAAATCCTAAAATAACAAACCTACACCACTCATGAACCACTTATGAACTTCTGAAGTTACATTAACATGTCAATTATGCTAAGCAGATTAAGTTATACAAATGCACCCATAACAATGAAACAGTGTATTGAAGGCCCAAGAGCACACAAAGGTCAACTGAACAAAATCATGCGTCCACAATGGCCACAGAAGTGTAGAGTTGATTAGATGATAAAGTGGAGGGAATTTACTCAAAAAGAAAAAGACCTTTTAAAACGAAAATGGGTTCATGATAAACTGGGCCAGGGGGCACCCATCTATAACCCTAGCACTCCAGGGGTATGGGCAGGAAGATGACAAGTTCAATGACATCTTCAGCTGCATATCGAGTCTGAGGCTGCCCTAAGCTAAGTGAGCCTCTGTCATCTTCTTTCTTTCTTTTCCTCCTCCTCCTCCTCCTTTATCCTCCCTGAAACAGGGTTTCTTTGTGTAACCATAGATGTCCTGAAACTCACTCTTGTAGACCAATCTGGCCTCGAATTCAGAGAGATCCACCTTCCTCTGCCTCCTCAAAGGAGTGCACTGGGCTATGAGTTCCTGTGTGCGTGTGCATGTGCGTGTGCGTGTGCGTGTAAGAAGGTACAGTTCCAGAAAGTGATGAGACATGTACAGATACAAACACACATTATTAAATACAATAAAATATTTTTTAAAGAGCCACAAAGGATTCATTCATAGAACTTATCAGATACTCTATGAAAATTCTTTCAAGGAAAAGGAAGACTCAGTAGAGATAAGGGAGATGCCCAGGACATGAAGAGATAGATACTCAGGGAAAGGGCAATTAATTAATGAAGAAACCTCACCTCAACATCGATCACAAAACGGCAAAATTGAACTATCAGGTCCAATTAAAGTCAGTTAATAACCTCGGGAAATTTGTTAGTAAAATAAGTCATTGTGGCTCTTAGATTTTATAGAGACATAATATCATTTGTATATTTATGACATGGAAAAAGAAGTGGACCTAACTAGGGAAACAAAAGGTGCTGGCAGGGAGGGGCAGGAGAAGGGAGGGTGGTAATGAGGAGAGAAAGCTCAACAGACATTTTTGCATGAAAACCTTAAAAAGCAGTCTCAAGACATCAGGCAGTACTGGGTGTGGTGGCACATGCCTTTGATCCCAGCACTCGGGAGGCAGAGGTGGATGGGTGGGCCTCTATGAGACCAAGGCCAACCTGGTCTACACAGCAAATAAGACCACTTCCCAAAATACGAAGAGAGTCATTATGGAACACTATCGGAGATGAGAACTTGGCATTTGCACAATCCCTAATAACATCAGCACAAGATGTGCTGAGATCCAGTAAGACCACTTGCACACAACTGTATCAAAACTCACCCAGCTAGACCGATGGCTCAGCATGTAAGTGAAGCTCCCACAGGGTGGCTCACAATCACCTGTCACTCCAGTTCCAGGGCATCCAATGCTCTCTGCTGGCCTCCATGGGCACACCCCCCCCACACACACACACATAAAAAGCAATAAATCTTATTAAAAACTGAGGCCAATAACTCTATACATCCTGGCTCCTTAGAGAAAAGGGAAATGCACCTGTGAAAGTCAAAACTATTTACAAAAACATTGGCTCCCTCACAACTCTCTTTCTAACATCTGCACCCTCATCAAGGTTTGAACTTAACTGTCACTGAAAAGGCGGGTCAGACTAGACAAACCATGATCTCTGCTTTCTACCGGTCAGAGTAAGGAGAGAAAGAGAGGAAGAGAGAGAGAGAGAGAGAGAGAGAGAGAGAGAGAGAGAGAGAGAGAGAGAGAGAGAAGAGAGAGAGAGAGAGAGAGAGAGAGCGCAAGAGGGGGTTGTTTAAGACTGGGGCCTCCACAAATCTGGAATAGGCCAGGCTTTGTCTATGTAAGTCACAATCTATGCCTGCCTCTGTTTCTTTTCATAAACAGGGTCATTACCCAGCATGCACAGTACCAAGAGAACCACAGATACCAGTGTCTGGAAAGTATATGAGACATTTAGTAAATAGGGGACGAACACACACACAACAAGGTCTCAGTGTGTAGTCCAGGCTAGCTTCAAACTCGTTCCATTACAGTCACGCACCATGCCTGACCTAAGAAATGTTTTCTTTTTTTCTTTTTTAACTAGATAAAGAACTTCATATACTAACCCTGGTAGACTTCGCTGACCCACTTAACCCATATTAAGCAGAACAGTGACAGAATTGTCATAACAGACAGAGAGAGCAACTCATTCAATACGAATGTCTACATCATCCTCACTGCAGAACAGGAATAAATAATAGAACCCTTTCCACACGCTTAATACACACTGTAAAGATTAAGGGTGAGACACGCTTGGCTTCTGGGAGATGACTACAAGAATGGTATGGAGGAGGCAACTAAGACAGCAGTGAGTCTGCAGGTGATGTCCAAGTCCTGGCAAACACAAGGAAGAGATGTTCATGGTGGGTGGGCGTGGAGGGTAAGATGAAACCCCAATACCCATGACTGAGTAACTATAAGATTTCAAAATTGACCATGAAAAACAACCTGGAAAGATTAGATCTGAAGTCACATCAAAGAGGAAGAAAATCACACCCAGGAATTCTTACCTTCTGAGGGTCAAGGTACGATGATGTAGCCACTCTTCAGTCTGAACAGTCAGATTAAGGTCCCGGGTGGGGTGGGGAATCCCACATCCTGAACCACTGCCTCATACTCAGAAGTGCCACTATTTCACAAACACAGACAGCTGTGGTCATTACTCTGCATCTAGTTGAGTGATATGAAGCAACTATGTCACCACAGATGACAAAAATAAAGTTTAAACTAGTCAAGACCTCTGAAATCTACTAGTAATTTAAAAACATCCTGATTTTTGTAAGAGTTGAGAACCAATGATATGCAATTCCTGACAGAGACAATAATTTTTACTTTATAATCCACATGAAGAAAGTAAGATGGTTTTGAAACAACAAAACCCTTAGTTTGCCTTGCTCTCTACTGCAAAGCCACTCTTCACCACTAACTTCTCCTTGGCATTTAACATCAAAGCCAGTCACCCTTCATCCTCCACCTTTCTGCTGGAAGAGACAAACCCACTTCTCAAGCAAGTCCTCCATACAGGCAGAAATGGCAGTGCCTGGCATTTATAGAAATCTGGATACATGGATTCATCTATTTCCCTCTTTCCCACCTTCTCCCTAAAGTTTTTATGAAGTACTACACAGTCAGGATTTCAGACCACTAAAGACACTTATACCTGAAGGTGTTTTATGTATCATTTCCCAGAGAAAATGTGCCACAGATTTTAATTAATATCCTTCTAGATTTAATATTAAAAACTCTAGTTAAGCAAAGCCTCAAATTTAAGTAATGCAAAGGTAATAAAATAAACTTATTTCCACATAGCAACTTTTGTTTTTGAGCCAAACGTTTCGTGTATCCCAGGTCAGCCTCCAACTGCTATGTCACTTAGGTGGTCTTTACCTTCCTTCCCAATGCTGGAATTATAGGTATGCATCACCACACACAACTGACACAGAGCTGGGAATCAGACCTAGGGCTTTTTGCACAGTATGCAAGCACTCTATCAACTAAGCTATACCCACAGCCCCTTCTAGGGACTATAACAAAAAATAAATAAATTTCATGTCTTAATGTAAAGTTCGATGAGTGTACCCTTGGTTTTCTATAATGTGAACTTCTCATCAGGTAGGAGAGTCGGTGTATGTGTCATGGCTACAGGGAGAACCACACACCAGGTATGGACTAACTGACTTCCTGGGATTCCTGAAAGCTTGTCTCCCGGAAATGGTACATGCTCCCTGACACCTGAGATGAGATGCTGCAGATTAAAACACACCATATGAATGCTGAAAAACATAAATATGCTCATGTAAACATGACTAGACCTAGCGTTGAGACAGGAAGAAGAGGTGGTGCCTCAAGCTCTAGGCGTAGCTGGATGGAAGAACACTTGCTTAGCACACACAAGGTCCTGAGTTCAATCCTCAGCAGAGCTAACAAAAGGAGAGAAAGAAGAGGTGGGGGCTTCTTGGGTGGTTCCTTTTTATTATCAGGATGTATCTGGAAGAAGAACAGGCATAAATACAGATATTATACAATTTAATTCAAACCTAAGTCAAGGCATATCTATCCAGCAAGGAGGAAATTAACTGCTCAACCCACACACACAAAATTTTTTTTTTTTTTTGGCTACTGCTATTATACTATATCAATTGCCAACATTTTCAAGGTGCTCAAAACAAACTTTGTTTGTTTGTTTGTCTTCCCAGACAGGATTTAAGGAGCCTGTCCTGGAACTAGCTCTTGTAAACCAGACTGGCCTTGAACTCACAGAGATATGCAAACCTCTGCCACCCTAGTGCTGGGATTAAAGGTGTGCACCACCACTGCCTGGCAAGTATCTATGTTTAAAGAGATTAATGTTCTAGGACTGGTTAAGTGGCTCATCAGGTAAAGGTGCTTGACACCACACCTAAACCTGAGTTGATCCCTGGGACCTACATGGTGGAAGGAGAAAAATGGCTCCTACAACTGTGCTATGCTGCGGGTAAGCCCACACACATACACACAAAATAAATATGATAAAATGTTTAATCGATGAATGTTCTAAAGAATCACTGAAACCAGTGAGTGATTCAATGAAATCATTGAAACTGTCTCCAAATTGCTAATATGAAAAAGAAGCAGGGCACAAACTTACTGGCCTATCTGAGAGTTTTCTTTAAAGCAAAATTATTTACACAAAAAATATGTATTTTGCTGTAACATCTTCAGGATTACAATGACATACCTATTAGAATGATATAGTCAGGCTGGGTGTCAAGTTGCAAGACTTTGATTATAGCATGTGGAAGGCAAAGGCAAGCAAACCTACATGGTGAGACCCTGGGCCTCACTCCCCACTGAGTGTCACAGATTTAAATTCAGTCACCATCTTGCCTCCTGGTTGCTCAATAGGACATATGCACAGAAAAAGACCCTCCTTCCCGCAGAGTCTCACTTCCCTTGAGTCATCTGCTCACAAACTTGTCACAATAACCATCCCATCAAACACTCTTCTGAACCCTAGTGTCCTGCCTCATCACAGCCACCTCCCGTGGATAAATAGCAGTCAAATAAGACCACACCGTCTCTTCCAATGTGGGAAAAGTCAACCTAAGTCCGCAGAAAGAAGAGCATCTTCGGAACTGAAGGTGCTAAGTCTACAGAATAAACCCACCTGCTCCCCAACATCTTATTCTCCTGTTAACATCTGAGACCAAGCAAGGCATGGTTAGGGAATTATATCCACCTAGTGAGTTTGAGAAAAGTCAATCTCTGTTTCAGTTTGGTGACAATTGGAATTCAATAAAATTAAAGAAAAAAATAAAAAAACCGTCTGGCTCATATTTATAAAGCACCATGTTTTCACCCTGTGAAACCACAGCAGAGGTTAACAAGCCAGACACCAGACTAAACACCTCAGAACTGCTGTCGTCCATTTGTGGTCCCTACTTTTTCTGGTGCGTGTTTGTACTACCAATTCCCTCAATTCCTGATGGCTAGGCTCTACAAGCAACCCACCTCCTCTTCAGTTTCCCAGCCTAGCTTACTCCTAAGCCTCTTTTACTATTTACCCAGAGTTCATCAGCTTCCTCCTTCCTTCTCCACATTCCTCTCACACCAACTTCACCAACACCCAAACTTCCCAGAACGGTATTTAGACAGCCTCAGGCCAGAGAGAGAGGAACAAAGAGCAGCTGCTCGGGGCAGCAGCTGGAGAGGGTAGTGAGGGCAGCTGGGGACTGACTCCAGGAGGCGGCCCAGACAGTCCCAGGCAGCCCCGGGGCCAGCCCAGCCTGGAAAGAACCAATCTAAGGGAGCATCCAGCAGTCACCAAACCGCGCAGCCCAGAACCTTCCTGCCCTGTCCCATACACCTGGGCGGTGGCGACAAAGTAGTGGAGACTCCTGGAGGAGGACATAGTGGCAGGGACAGGAGATAGAGAAAGTCCCTGCAAGCGAGCGATCGAGCGACGACCCCTCGCCTTCCCGCCCCGGCCAGCGCACCTGGACCAGGTGGCCACCCTGCTCCCTCAGGGCGCTCTCGAGGACTCCGGCTACGGGCGAGCGGGCGGGCTCCGGGGGCTGGAACCGCTGCGACGCGAGACTTCACTCCTCCATCCTGGGAGCCGGCAGCACGTTACAGTCAGCAGTGCACTTCCTGTTTCAAAAAGAGCGAGAGTGTGTGTGTTGGCTGAGGGGGGCGCGGAGCAGCCGCCCGGCGGGCGGGCGGGCGGGCGAGAGAGGG